CTCAGGTGAAGCTGGTGTTTGTAACAGAGTCTAAAACTGTTTTTTTTTATGTGGGATGCAGGGTGAGGAGGGGGGGTGTGTGTGTGTGTGTGTGGGGGGGGGGGGGGATAATGAACGCTGCCTGTTCCCGACAGAAGACACCACTGCACATGTGTAGATCTGCACTGCATCAGCTGTCCAGTTTGATTGACAGCTGCAGCTGGGGGAGACGGGTGAGGAGGAGGAGCCTCCTGGTTTGTGTTAGGAGGGAGGGAGGAGAGGAAGGAGGGAGGGGGGGAGGAAGGAGGGAGGGGGGGAGAACCAGCAGCACCTTCTCCTAGAAATATATGTTTATTATGTGCTGTTATGTTTTTTATTAGCCGAGCTCGCTGCGTGTCGGTCAGTCCAACGCCGTGTCTCTAAACAGCGACTGATGGATCGCCATGAACTCGGACATTCATGTTCCCCAGAGGATAAATCCCTCTGACTGCGGCGATCCGCTCACTTCTGCTCTAGCGCCACCAGCAGGTCAACGCTGTTTTGTCTGTGCTGAGAAACACATGACGGAGGCTACAGGAGAAATCTGCTCAGAATAAAATAACAGAGGTTTTATTTTACTCCTGAACTCCACAGGATGCGTTTACTGACCAATCATTTATGTTGGAAACGTCAGACAGAAGTTGAACATTTTTACACGCAGTGTGGGCGTGTAAAAGTACTTGAATACATAGGGAAGTGGGTGTGGCTTGATGATACCTGTATCACCAAGACTGCATCTGCATCATCATCAGAAATAGTTGGTTAAGGTAATAAAACGATGATGGAGCTTTAAAAAGAGAGAAGAAAGAGTTGACAGTCAGAAAAGGGAAACGATCAGTGATCTGAAGTTGTGACGTTTTGTCTCTTCAGCAGGTTTAAACCAGAAAAACTGCAGCGAGTCCAACAGCTGAGAATCAGGAGGATCTGAAAGAGTTGAGACAAAGCATCAATAAACCCGACCCAGACTAATGGAGTCTGTCTGCCGCAAGACAAACACGGTCGACTTCACGATTCATTCAGGGTGAAGCTGGATAAACGTCGTCGTGAATGTTGTTGCTCTTTTCTCTCAGACGCAGGAACAATTTGATTTTCCAGCAAATTCAGTTTCATTTGAATTGTTAACGTCGGTGAGTCAGGTCAATCTTTCATGGTCAACTTCAAAAGTCACATTTTGTGCTGATTGAAAATAAACATCGGCTGGTGATTAAAATATTTGTCCATATTCCAGATAAACACTCAAATCAACTGTGACACGAGGCAACACGGAAAAAGGATTTTTATTCATGAACTGTTTATACAAGCAGTCCAACACGCAGCTTCCTACCTGTCTCAAAAACAACAAAAAAATAAACAAAAAAACCCAAAAAAATATCATTGAAATAAAATAAATTTACTAATAATCATTGAATAATATTATCAATTATATATCAGTATTATCATAACCTTAATGGCAATAATAACAACCCAAAGCCAGTAGTATTTGTGTTTGTCTGTGGCATATGAAAAACAGAACAAAGAGTTTCTGATGGGTGGAAATCGGAGGATTTTCTACAGCGAGCTCTCGGCTGAGAGCTCCGACACGTGGAGGAGAGACGGAGCGAGAGAGCTCCCCACACACGCAATAAATATGAAAGAGCAAAGAGTCCGGTATTTAAACAAAAATAATCATCTGGAACTCGCAGGTACAATAACTAAAGTCTTTATGTGCAAGATTCGAGCTGAAGTCTTCACCACAAACAATTATACTCACATCAAAACCCCCGACCTCCCCCGAACAAATTCATTTTGTTTTCTACATTAAATCTTTTAAATAAACCTAGAGCATTTTGTCATTTCATATACACATATATTTATATTTACTTTGATTTTTTTTCCTATATGCCATCCTTTTTAAATTGTCTTGTGTTGAGCGTGTGTTTGAGAATCTGTGTGAGGAAAAACAAAACAGAAAAGAAGTCCACTGGATGAACATACAAAGCGATAATGAAGCGCACGTATGCTCACACACACTCACGTCACATACATACAGTGTGAGAGAAAAACTTTTAGGAACAAGTGGAGAGCAGAGCTGGAGGGAGGGAGGGTGTGTGTGTGTGTGTATGTGTGTGTGTGTGTGTATGTGTTTGTGTGTTGAGTCTCCATGGCAACAGCGGCGGAAAGCCAGAACCTCACACACCACACACACACACACACCTCTTCTTCTCCAGAAAATGTTTGGTCACAGTTTTGTCCCCTTCAAAACTTCCACCGCAAAGTTTGTGTGTGTGTGTGTGTGTGTGTGTGTGTGTGTGTGTGTGTGTGTGTGTGTGTGAACTCGAGAGTGTGTGTTGTTGTTGTTTTTATTTTGGCTGTTGCCGAGTCTGCAGCGAGAAGGGTCAAAGTTCAGAAAAGGAGGCTTCCCATTGGTTCCCACTCAATCAGCAACAGTTATTTGGCACATTGAACAACCATTAAGTAACACATTGGGCTAAAAAGGTGCAACAACATAAATTTCAATGAAAACAATAAAAACCATTTTGGTTTACAAAAATAAAAGACACCTTGAGAGGTGACAACATTTCTCTATAATAGATGATAATATCTCCCCCTGACTCATAAAGGCTACGAAGAAAAAAAACAAAACAATCACAACGCACCCGAATCATCCTCTTCCTCCTGCAGGTCACATCACAGCTGGAAATGCATGGACATCACAGACAAGGACACTGTACTGCATGAGAAATAAAAACCCTGAAACTGATGAATGTAAATTGGTTCCTGTTTCCCGCTCCTTCTCTGCTGCAGCGTGTTTGTTAACACGTCTTTGTGCGCGTTTCTGCCCGTCGCGGTGACGCTGGCGAAACCGTAAAAACCCCCAATAATAATAATAATAATAATAATAATAATAATAATAATTAAAAAAAAAGAGTTTCACCTCATCTGAACTGTGTCACATTCAGACAAAAAAAGACGTAAGATAATAAAAATACTGAGGAAAACTCCACCCTGAAACACGTTCACGCTGCTGATGTTGGTTCATGTGTTTTTCTTTTTCCTGCAGGAAACTGGGAAATCTGACGGCACGCAAACACACCGGAGCTTCAAGGCTTCGAACTAACAGCCACAACTTTCAGAGTCAAAGAGCAGCAGCGACCGGTCGGGAAACGCTGGAGCTGGAGGAACAGACCTCATTTATCCAGAGAAGAAGAAATGAAGGAAACCTCAGAAGACGTCACACTGACAGGAAGTGACATCAGAGCTTTCGGGTTTTGAGATCTGATCACTCAGAACTCCAAATCAGGTGGATTTGATTTGGTCTCGGCGCAGACTGGATCCTCCTGCAGGACTCCCAGAATGCAACGCTCAACATCAGAGCTGCAATAATTAATTGATTGTTCGTTAATTGTTTTAGTCGTTTTTCAAGAGTGATTGTAGATTGATTGTTAAGTATTTTTAGGTTTCATCTCCTCAGGCTGCGAGAAATCAAAACATTCGCTATTTGACGGAACTAATTATTGATCAGAGAGATCAATAGTTCAGCTCAACATCACAAGTTTTTCTCCTGGAAAAAATTCTCCTGCCGTTTTGTTTCCCCTTCGCTCATTAAGAGCTTCAACATGCAGCTGAAGCTCTCTAGAGGCCGTCCAAAGGCATGCTGGGAAATGTAGGCCAAAAAAAACCCCCCCAAAAAAAACACCTGAAACTCCTGAAGCATCAGAGTTTGTTTGTGTTTGAGGGTGGATCTTTCCTTTAATTAGTTTCAGCTCGTCTACATCTTCATCATCTTCCTCTTCCTCTCTGCAAATCAGCTGACTGACACTAACTGTAAACCTACAGGGCCGAGTGTGTGTGTGTGTGTGTGTGTGTGTGTGTGTATGTGTGTGTGAGAGCGCGTATTCAAACTGACACAGTCCAACTGAGGTAAAGCAGCGCTGCGAGTGATTGAAAGCCGTCATGCTCCTGCCTGTCCACCCCCCCCC